TAAGCAGTTGGTCATAGTAGTGACGTTAGTTTGAGATGGGGGGAAGGGTTAATGATCAGAGTGTTTAAATAGGTAACTCACAGGTAGGTTGCAGGTATAGCAGTATAGTGTAGAACCAACAGATGGTCGATCGTCTGTATGGTGGACTACTTAAATTAGACAATGATCAAAGTTGTACGTGTAGCTTGTTGTACACTTATCATATAACTGTAGAACCTTAGGAACTATTCATGTGATAGTTCCGAAATAACAAACTAATAAAAATCTAATCAGCCAAAGAAGTGGCTTTAATAATAATAAAAAAAAAAAATATATTTTATAACTAATAAAGAACAACTAATATTTAATATAAAATAAACTTAACTAAAATTTTGCAAGCTAAAAAAAAAAAGTTATAACTTTATTATATCTATTTAAAACTAATCTTAACCAAATTTTGAAAAAATTTATTTATCTAATTATTATATTGAAATATTAGCAATAAACTAGAAAAAAAAAGAAGCAAACTATACCAAATACAAGTTTCTTATAAAAAATAACTACTGTAATTAAGTAAAGCTAACTTCTATAAACTAATAAAATTTTAATTTATAACTAACAACCTAAAACTCTAATAAAAGTATATATCTTAAAACCAGTTTTTAATATTTAACTTAGAAAAAACTATGTCTTAAAAATCTAAAAAAAAAATTAAAAAATTTTTCTAATACAAAAATTAGAGCCTTAAATTAAGTTTATAAATTTACAACTTTATCAAAGCATTTGCTCGTTTAGTCAAGTAGTTAGTGCAAAATACTTACTATATTAGAGTATTTATTTGTATATTCAGAATAATTAATATCATCTTGTCAGATAATACCAAAATATTTTGAAAAGAATAATCTTAGATGCAACAAGTTTAGGATTCAATAAAAGTGCAACGTCTTGAAAAGCTCAAAAGTATAAGTTATATCAAAGCTAAATAAACTTGAAAGAATTTTTTTTTTTCGATTGTTCTATTTATATTTGATCTTATTAAGAACGCGCTAATTAACCAATCATATTAGCAGTCATAAATAGGAATACCCACATGGCAAAATCCAGAAATCCCAAATCCCAAACTCTGGCCCAACAATAAAATTTTTAAGTATACACATGATACCATATATAAAAATTACGGTAACTTTGCATTACTGTAGCATAACGCAGGCCAAAATTTCATGCAAGGATGTACATTATATACGACTGTAATAATAACGAGAACACTTAGAGTTATTCGTTTTAAAACATGTATGCTGAAAGACCGAGGAAGTAAGTGGTTTACTTAAAGAACTAGAACTTTCCACGTTTGAACCTTTAAGCATTTCTTTCTTATTAAACTTTACTTTTTAACTTCTTCAAGCTCTAGAAGGTACCGATCTCGTTCGCCTCATAACGGCGATCGTTACCGCGAAGAAGTTACTCACCGACATCGATATAATCGAGATTATGAAAGAGAAGGTCGAAGGAATTCTGATTATACTGAACCACCATATAGGAGTTCACCTAGAAACGAAAAGCCTCACTATGAAACTCGCGATAGCGGAAACGATATACAAATGAAAAATCAACAACCTGAAAAACTACCTAATCCTGAAACAATAAAAGATTCTAACCTTAATCAAAAGCCAAAAATTCCAATTTCTCTAGAAGAATTACTTCAGAAACGTGAAACGGAAAAACAAGCAAATGATAGAGTTTGTAAATCTTGTTTTTATATTGTTTTAATGGAATATTGTATTAATTTGCCTTTATTTACGCTTATAGCTATTTAATACAATTATGGAGTTTGTAGAGACTAATATTTTTGGATTACTTTTTTTTTTTTTTTTTTGTCTTTATAGCCTAAATTCTTGACTAAAGAAGAAAGGACAAAGTTGGCGTTGGAAAAAAGACAGAAAGAAGTTGAATTACAACGTCAAAAACAAGAGGAGGAGAGACGTCAGCAAGAGGAATTCCAAAGACGTGCTATGGAAGAAGCTCGACAAAATGGTAAGATTTCATGATTTTATTAATACAGGAAAAGCTTTTAATTCTTTTATTTATATTGATATTTTTTTGTTTTAGGATATGGTCGCGACAGAAGAGATTATTATGATCGTCACAACGATCGCGATAGGTTTGAACGATATGATCGTGATAGGACAAAGGGAAGAGATCGTGATTCTGTCGATAAACGTTCCACTGATAAATCTGATCAAGCCGATGAAAAAGATAAATTGGATGATAAAGAATTACAGGCAATTCGAGTGTGTAATCAGATTTATTTAGTTTGCTTGTAATTACTATTAGTTAGGAATTCTAAAAATATTATATATAGGAACGCTATATGGGTGGTGAGCGTAAAAAACGCAAAATACGAAAGATGAACGAGAAAAAATTTGTCTTTGATTGGGATGCTGGTGAAGACACTTCGCAAGATTTCAATCCTTTATATGCAGCTAAGCATAATGCTCAAATGTTTGGACGTGGTCATTTCGCGGGTATTGATATAAAAGAGCAAAAACGAAATCGGGCACAATTTTATAATAAATTGTTAGAAGAGAGGAGAACACTAGATCAAAAAGATCGTGCTGAGTAAATATTTTCATTGATATGAATTATATCATAATATTTTATAACGTATTAACATTATTGTGAAATTTAGAGAAAGAATGGAAATTGATAGGAAGAAAGAATTAAAGAGTATGTGGGATGACAGGCATTGGTCTGAGAAACCATTGAGTGAGATGAAAGAAAGAGACTGGCGTATTTTCAAGGAAGATTTTAATATAACAACTAAAGGTGCGTTTTACTATGACCAATTTGACAAATTGATTAAATTTATAGTCAATTAACCTTATAATGCCTGTAGGTGGTAGCATTCCAAATCCTATAAGATCATGGTCAGAACCTGGCTTGTCAGAACGCATTCTCGAAATTCTTGCAAATATTAGTTATAAGGAACCTACTCCTATACAGCGTCAAGCAATACCTATCGGGTTACAAAACAGGGATATAATCGGTATTGCAGAAACAGGTAAGAAATTTTGTTTCTTAATTTGCGTTTTAATCATAGCTTTCTAACATTATTGCATGTTAGGAACTGGTAAAACCGCATCGTTTGTCATTCCAATGCTTATGTATATATCTGAGCTTCCTAAATTATGTGAGGAAAACATGTCTGATGGCCCTTATGCTTTGATTTTGGCACCAACACGTGAATTGGCACAGCAAATAGAACAAGAAACTTTAAAATTTGCTGCACCTATGGGCTTCAACTGTGTTTCCATTGTTGGTGGGGTAAGAAATAAAGTTGTTACAATAACAAGTTTCCTTATTTTAGTGATGACATTAATTTATATGCATTTCGCAGCATGCTGTCGAAGAGCAAGCGTTCAACCTAAGGAATGGAGCGGAGATCATTATTGCCACTCCAGGTCGTTTGAAAGACTGCCTTGACCGAAGAATTTTGGTTCTTAATCAATGCACATATGTAGTTATGGACGAGGTTTGTATCAAACACTTCGAAAGGATGATTTTCAATAGTTGCTAATTAAAATAAGTTTATTTAGGCTGATCGTATGATAGATATGGGTTTTGAAGCCGATGTTAATGTGATATTGGATGCTTTGCCAGTGTCTAATGTGAAGCCTGATACTGAAGAGGCTGAGAATCCAATTGAGATGCTAAAAAAAAATGGTCGAAGAGAACGATATAGGCAGACAGTGATGTTTTCAGCTACCATGCCTCCTGCTGTTGAGCGATTGGCCAAGAGGTATGTACTAAAATATTCATAATATATTTTTATACATTTTTATTTATTTATGACATTTTGATCCACTTTTTTGCAGATATTTAAGGCGGCCTGCTGTTGTGACCGTTGGTACTGCAGGACAAGCTGTAGATACTGTGGAACAAAGAGTTGAAATGATCAATGATGAAGGAAGAAAGAAGTAAGGATTTGTAATTTCATTTCCTTTATGTATTTTATATCGAGTTTAATTTACTAAGTTTGTTTTGTTATTTAATTTCAGGGCACGCTTATTAGAGCTCCTTCAAGGATCCTTTGATCCACCAATAATTATATTTGTCAATCAGAAGAAAGGATGTGATGTTCTAGCTCGAGCATTGAACAAACTTGGGGTAAGTTTTTATAAATTTCGTACTATATTTATTTTAATTTTATGATAATTATTAAAAAAATCATAGTATCGTGCAACAACCCTCCATGGAGGTAAGACCCAGGAACAAAGGTAAATCGCGATCAATTTACTCTTTCTTGAATTGCATTATATTCATTAACTAAATATTATATGTTTCTAATTCTATAGAGAGAGCGCTTTGGCACATCTTAAAAATGGCACGATGGATATTCTTGGTGCGTTAATTAATCTTTTATTGGATCCTTTATTTAGCAAAATACATGCTTATATTTCATTGTACATTAGTTGCTACGGATGTTGCTGGCCGTGGTATAGACGTTAAAAATGTTTCATTGGTTATTAATTACGATATGGCAAAAACCATTGAAGGTATTATCAATTGTTATAAATCATTTAAAGATTTCCTCCTAGAAATATTAATGAAACTACTTTATTTGTAAATTTCCGTAGATTATACACATCGTATTGGTCGTACTGGACGTGCTGGTAAATCTGGTGTAGCCATTACATTCCTATCTAATGCAGATGCGGATGTTATGTAAGTTTTCTATTTATGCATGTTCTACCTGAAGCTATATTGCAATTTAATGTAACTATTTTGATACGATTATATAATATAGGTATGATTTGAAACAAATGATGTTGAAGTCACCAATATCTAGGGTGCCTGCTGAATTGGCGTCTCATCCTAACGCGATGGCCAAACCCGGAACCTATGTATCTAAACGAAAACACGAAGAGACCATTTTCCAATAAGTTTCTGAACTGGATGCAAAAATGTCACGATCACCTTCATGATTTTGAAATCATTTGGATGAAACTAGGTTGCATATAAAACCCTTATAACTGTGTTGTACATTTTGAATTTGTCCCAGTAGTGTCCCAACTTTATTTAACTTATAAAGCTATATTAAAAATAATATAAATATTACTTTATGTAAAATTAAGCATTTTTTTTTTTTTTTATTTAATAATTCAAAGCATGTTGTCTTAGTAAATTTTAAGCTACTACTGTATATCGCCTAAATGTAAAATCAGGACTCGAGTCACGAGTTGGTTGAGTTGCGACTCATCGAATTGTGCCTATCTCTACCTTTAATCTATCTATCTTCTTATCTATGATTATTTTTTTCTCTCTTCTTTCTTTGCTTTTTTTTCTGCTTTAAATTGTAATCCTCTGTATGGTTTTCTTCACTCTTTGCTTTTTTTTGACTTCTAAGTTTTACTTTTTGTAAAGATAAGGTTTTTTGTGATTCAACTAGGGTTGCAAATTAGAAGCAGTTTGTGATTTTATAATCTCTGTACCTATTTTTTGTCTTAAGTATATATTTTTTTTCTGCAAATACTATTAGGTTTTTAGTATTTTTCTTATATTTTTTTTTCTTTTTTCCTTTGTTATATTTTTCTCTACTTTCGATTTGTTATCTTTTTTTCTTTTTCTTTTTTGAGTTATTTATTTTTTTATTTTTTTTTTCTAAAAGATTAAAAATTTAATTATTGTATCATATATATTTTGACTTTTGTTAGTTTTTTTGTTTTTTAAGCTACCTTCTATTAAATATTTTTCATATATTGTTCTTTTTTTTATTTTATATTTTTTTTAAACATGTTTAAAGTATTTTTTTTTTTTTTGGTTTTGCTTTATTGTTTTTATCTTTTTTAGTTTTAATATTATATTTTATACTTCTTTTTGATAATTTTTTTTTTCAAAAATTTGAAAAAGATAAAAACAAAAAATTTATTAAAGATGATGAAAAAGATTTTTACAACAACAATAGTTTTTACAAAGTTTGATTTTTTTATTAAAGATTTTTTTTGTATATTTAGTATATAAATTAAAAGTGTTATTATATAAGATAACTAACAAAAAGTAGAGTTTTTATATAAAAAATTTTAGTAAAAAGCTAATAAAAAGATTTTGTTAACAAAGTTAATAAAAGAAAATTTAAGAAGAAAAACAATAAATTATTTTGTTTATATATTTTTTGGATTTTAGAAAATATTAATATATCATAAGTTTTTTCTTACTATACATTACTCTAGTTATACTGATATCTAGATATAATAACACCATTATAAAATCTTTCTATACTGACAATTTTTTTCAAAAATTTAATATAAAATATCAGTATAACTCACTATATTGATATTTTG